CTGGGGTCTTAGGAAACAGATTTGACGGAAGCCTCGGATTTAGCGCGGCAGATATCGTCATTATGGATCGACGTAAAAAGCAGGAATACTTCACTCATTAAGGACATCGCCACATATCGCTGTTCGACAAAGCAACGCATATCGGCGGCTGTAGCATGTCATTTATTTCAACTCTGGATGTTGATACATCTGCATCGTTAGACCGATGCTACGAAGCTTAAGAGAGGCACCATCTGACGAAGCTGCTTGAGAAATGACACCAAGCCTTGATTATAGCGTGTAGCCCTTATTTCCAATCCTCCACACAGACGAATCCCAGAGGATAGTGATCAGGCATAGTTCGGTCGAGAAATGCAGTTGTTTCATTAGCGATTATCGCTGTTCAGTTACTGAGAAATGAACTTTGGCATATTACTTCACAATTCAAGTGTGGATTCGACCATATCGCTGGAATATGAAAACTAAGGAAATTTTTAATCTCTTTATCTTGTTGCAGTTTCATAAAGGCACCGATTATCTAACCATTCAGTTTATACATACGTTTAAAATTTATTTGCTTATTCCATTGTTATTCACTGTTACTTACGTCATATGGGTCATTTTAATTTTCTTTATCTCTGCAGAAGTGCTGGATTCTTTGGTAAAGTTTTCAGATTGTAAACTTCCAACTCGAAATTTTCATGCTTTCCCATGTTTCTGCCAAATTTTCCATCCAGCCGTTGTACATCTAGAAACTGCCCCGTCTAGAAATTACGTTATTGATCTATACACAATGTTTACCCTTCCAGGTTTACAGTGCACTTTTCCGTGACGGTACTTCAGCGATTGGCGCCATTTTCTGATTCACTGGCGGATCTCGTTTGATAGTATGTTAAGATTACCGGGTTTTTCATGGTTTATCAGTTTAGCGACGTTTACTGCATTTAATGTCAAAGCTGTTGTCGTGATATCAGTCTGAGTGATGACCACTTGACGTTTAAGTTGCCAAAGATAAGCTGCTTTTCCCTTGTTTGAAGTACAAACTGAGTCAGTCATTTGCTTCAATCTTTATTGCAATCACCAGCAATAAAAATGGCAGAGGCCAAAAATTGGAAGCAAATTTTCTCATATATACAGACAGCCAAAAATAGCATCCAATTTGGATGCCAAATTCTAAATTGGCAGTGTATGGTGCAAAATTTGAGTCAAGTTGGATTTTACTTTCTTTTGGCTAATTCATTTCCATTTCCTGTTTTCTTCTTTGGCGGACAGTGCTAAGTAGTTTTAGTAGGTAGGCCATTTAAATGATTTCGCCTGAATGCTTCGATGATGCGTGATAAAGAATACTAAAAACCAAGCCTCATCCACTACATTTCAAACAGTACTCGAGAAACTTGTAGCCATGCTACATATTTAGGTGTAATTTTGCCAAATAATATAATATAATTCCTAAACTTTCCACTCTCACGTTTTATTAACTGACACTAGATTATGTCATTTTTAAAAGTGAATAAAATGAATGAGAATTTTCCACTCACCTCATGATGCCTTCTGAAAATTCGTATCTGCATGCATGCTACTGCTCGACACATCTATATGTCAGTGGTCGTTTTTCCTGGTCTGGCACCATATGGCTTCAAGGTTATGACGTTTCTTGAATGGTCTAACTTCCGCATAATGACCTATTTCGGCGAGTCACCGGTGTGCTTATTTTATCCGATACTCACAAACCTCTTTGCAACAGCAGTTATGCTATGGAAGGCAAACTCTCGCGATTATTGCAGCAAATCTCATCAAATAAATCCAGGCACTCTAGTGTGCTTGCCGGAAAGACTATAATTGCAGCTTCAATACCATTCTTCGGAATCCAACAAATCAAACAGCATTTCCTGAATTTGCGCAACGTCACGAATTTCCCTTCTTGCTTGTGTAGCGACCCGCCGAATGGATCTGCTTTGGTGAGGGCTAATCCCGTCAGCCACTTAAAGACTGGTCTGCGTATGAGGATGTGATTCATCGCTGCCCGATCGTAACAGCCTGATC